GTCATCTGCAAACTTACTGAGGGTGCACTCAATCCCCTTGTTCAGGTCATTGGTAAAGATACTAAACACAACTGTTGCCAATACTGAGCCCTGGGGAACACCACTTGTGACTGGCCACTAACTGGATTTAACTCCATTCATCACAACTCTTTGGGCCCAGCCATCCAGCCAGTTTTTTACTTGGTGAAGAGTACGCCCGTCCAAGCCATGAGCAGCCAGTATCTCCAGGAGAATGCTGTGGGAAACGGTGTCAAAGGCTTTACTGAAGTCCAGGTAGACAACATGCACAGACTTTCCCTTGTCCATTAAGTGGGTCACTTTGTCATAGAAGGACATCAGGTCAGTCAAGCAGGACCTGCCTTTCATAAACCCATGCTGACTGGGCCGGATCACTTGGTTGTCCTGGATTAAAAGCCATCTCCCAAACCATTTTGTTCAATGAATTTCCAAGGAAAGGAAGAGCTTGGCATTCTTGCTGTCTGATTTGACAGGGCTGGATTTATGGCAGAAGAGAAATGTACGGGCTCTTTTCCTATAAGCTGTAGAGAATTTGCAACTTCCCTGACCTCGCTGCAATAATAATTTATGGAATAAGCTGCAGTATTTAGGGCAATGAGACTGCAGACAACAAAGCGGGACATTATCTGGCCTGCATCTGAATTAATTTGGCCAGATAAGCATGATGAATAAAATATATAGGCCTGCAAATACTTTTATTTAGCTCTTGTCTTCTGTTTTCTGGAAGTCAATGCAGAAGCAGATTTCATTTCCCCAGTAGAGGGTATTGGGCTGTGTATTTTACTCCATTGAATGTATAGGGATGCACTGTACTTCAGGGAGAACGCACAGTAAGAAGGTGCTATCAATGAAGAAGTGTGCAGCCCACTCCAGAGAGCCCACAGATCAGCTTGAGGAGGCGGCATTTTTCAAAACTCACGAACAGGAAGTGCCACTTTCTGTAATTTAGTTCTCCCACATCCAACACACATCCCTGAATTTCATCTGCCACTTTACTGCCCCTTCGCAGCTGGAGAGCTCACTTGGACTTCCATAAACTAGAGGAGGGTCCGGAGGAGGGAAGAAGGTGACCGATGCCTGCCTGCAATCCTGTGAACTGCAGCCTCACTTTCTTGATCACATTTCTTTGTACTTGAATATACACTGACATTGTGGAATGCATTTCCCTCTACCACCACCACTTCAAAATAAAGATCTTTCACAAGATCAGCTGCAACACAGCTGAATTTGTACCTTAGCTAAGTAAATAGAGGCCCTTTGGAGGACACCATTTACTACGTTTTAGGTCTAAACATCAGATTAAGAATTTTAAATCACAAGAACTGCTGTACTGGGTCAGACCAGTGATCCATCCAGGCCAGCATCCCCTTTCTGGATGCCAAGGGAAAGAACATCTAGGAACAGGACCTCCCTTGCTCTGTTCTTCCTTCCCAGTCCATGGCCCAAGCTGTTGCTCATTCAAAAGTTGCCTCCAGATCTTAGTGGTCAGTGATTACCTGTGGATCTCTTCTTCAGAAATTGACTTGTGTTTTTCTGAACCAACTGATACCTTTGGTCTCCACAACATCCTGTGCCAATGAGATCCACAATTTAATTATGCAACTCACAAAGAAGCACTTATTTTTATTTAAGTTGTTGTCTGATTATTTCATTAGGGACGCCCTTCCTCTAGCAATGTGAAAAATAGCATATAGTCTGTCTGGCATTTTTATACCTTATTTTATAAATCCTGAAGATGTTCCCACTCTGTGTCCTCTCTCTTCCAAGCTGCAAGTCCTAATTTATTTATTATCCCTGTGTACAGATGCCACTCTCTGCTACTGATCATCCTTGACAGAGGATTCTCAACTCTCTCCTAATTCTGAGCAGATATATGGACAATATTTCTTCTGATGAGGGTAGTTAAGTGCTAGAAGAGGCTACTGTGGAATCTCCATGCCTGGAGCTATTTATAACTTGATTGGACAAGGCCCTCAGCAAACTCTCTAGACTTGCAGTTATCCCTGCTTTAAATATGAGGTTGGTCTAAAGATCTCCTGAAGACCCTTCAACCTAATTTTTTGTTGGATTCTATGATTCTACTACTACTAAAACCTTTTTAGATGGGGCAGAGGCAGAAATGAATATAATGTTCAAGGTATGGGCTCACCATGCCTTTGTCCTGCTACAAAATAAATGTTTTCTGCAATGTTTCTTGTTCGCTTTCTGATAATTCTCTAGCATTTGATTTTCCTCTCTGGCCTCTGATGAGCACTAACTGCTGTTCCCAATGATCTGCTTCTGAGTAATGACAGCTAATTTTGAGTCCATCATCATATGTGTATAGTTGGGATTGTTGTTCCTCATGTGCATTATTTTGCACTCGTCAACACCGAATTTCATCTGCCATTTTACTGCCCACTCAGTATCGCGGGCTGCTTCTGTGACTTTTCATACTCAGCTTGAGATCTGACTATCCTGAACAGCTCTGCAGCATCTGCAAATAAGGTTTTACTGAAACTGCAATGAAGATAAATGTCTTCACCATTCTGTTTCTTTAAATATCAGTGAAGGGAGTACTCCTGACTGCTCGGATTGCGAGCACTGCAAATATTTCATTAATTCAGGAAAGCCTAAGAGTGAAATAAACAAACCTAGGTCCCATTTACATTACAAAGAGCTACTATACTGCAGGAACTGGCTACAGCACAGGAGACCAAGACACAGCTATTACAGTTCAGCACAGGAACACAGCTCAGCCTCCTCGGCAGGTTTTTGCTGCCCCACATGCTTCCAATAGAAGTGGTCCTTGCCCTGCGTGCAACTCTTGCGTTTCTCTGAATCAGAAAAATTGATTAGTTTCTCTCTGGCGCCTGGGTTAAGCAAAATGCCAAACTACATTCGTAGCAAAGGTAAATCAGATTTCTAAAGTAGACACTTGTAACAGTCCAAGGGGTTAATAGTAAAAGATGATTTGTTTTGTTTTGTGAAAATGATTAACCTGACAGCAGTCTCTTTAAAATAAATCAGTGTCTTCATTTGGCCCAACCAAGGGGTTCTGGGTGGGGAGGCGATCGCTCTCCCCTTTCCTGGGGATGGGGAGATCGCAAGGGCCCACAGCTCCCCCTTCCCTTCGCACAGGCGACGAGACACACGCCCCCCGCATTCTGCCTACAAGGCTGAGCTGACCCTCCTTCGTGAGGCAGCTGGTCCAGCCCCACCCTGCAGATCAAGTCAACAGTCTCTTACAGATGACCTGCTGGCACAGCAAGCCTTCTCCAGAGCCTCACCTGTACTCCCTCTCCTGAAAGAGCTGAACAAGACTGGATCTGCCAGACTCTGTCCCGGATTGTGTGTAGGTTCAGTCCCTCAGCAATCTCCGAAGCAGGGGCAGCCGTCAGCAAATCCTGCTTGTTAGCGAATATGAGCACGGGGACTCCACTAAGCTTTTCTTCATCCAGAAGCTCAGCCAGCTCCTGTATCATTTACAAGGGAGTGGGGTGGGGGGAAGATGGAGAGAGGGAAGGGAAGAAAATCTTCAACCACCAGTGGTTGTCTCTAATTAGAAATATATTTAGGGCAAATGCTAGAAGAATATGTTCCAATGAAACCTAGATCTTATTATAAGAGAGCAAAAATGTATACAATCATCTCTGCCCAAGGTTCAAAAGCTATTTCTTCCAATTACAGGTTACAAAAATCTTCATCTTGGTCTGAAATTAGCAGTTGCCTTAAAGGCTACAACTCTGTGTTTTACCAGTCCCTGCTCCCAGGAGACCAAAATTGATGAAACGGCAAAAAACATGTAAATTGGCAGTATGAAGAATCTGTCTTAAGTTATTGCCTGACTGGCATTTGTACCTGAGCAGCCGTTGACACCAGCCCTGATATCTTTGCTAATAATGAGTTTCAGGGGTTTGTTCCAAGTTTTATACATGCAATTTGAGTGGGAGAGGACTTTTTTTTACCCCCAGAAATGGAAGTCTCCCTCCCACAAGAAAGTGCTGATGCTTTTCAAGGCACTGGCTAGCTGAAGACAAGCTAGATCAGCTTTACTAGCTGGATTTTGGCTCCATATGCACCGCACACATTGGGTGGCATCTTGAGAAATGGGTTTGTTCATTCAAAACTGGGTGAGTCAAAGAGATTCTTTTAATAGCTCAAATCTGAATCTGCAGTGGATCAACGATGGCTGAAATACTTCATGTCTAGGGTTGTGCAACAGCCTCGTGAAACAAGCACAAAGTCTCAAGTCACTTCCCTATGTGAACATATGACAAACCCAGCAGAACTTGAACCTGTAGGGACTGCTGGCATTGCAGATAGATGAGTACATGAGATTTCTGTGGGCTCCTTATTTAGCTGGAAAGGTCTCATGCTCTCAGATACTGTCCTAACACCTTTCACCCACCGGCTAGAAACTTCTTGGATTAAATGAGTACAGTCAGGGAGATGCTAAACTGCAGTGGAAATTCAACTCCATCCCCCCAAAAAGCAATGTTTGGTTTGGAAACCAGGACAAGAGAATGGAGTTATAAACAGAGTTGGCTGGGAATTTTTTTCAACAAAATAGGTCTTTCATCTGACATGGATGATTTATTGAAACCAAAAGTGTTTGCAGAAATATAAGGGGTCCAGGCTGACTCCGCCTGACTCGGGCAAGTGCTCTAAGCTTCTGCTTCCTCTCTCTCTCTCTTTTGCCCAATGAATATTTAATTACTGATATAAAATGAAATAGCTCCAACAGGGCAAAGATTTCCCCCACCCCTACAACAACCAACAGTTCTGCTGTTAGGGTGCGTCCATGATACTTCAGAGACGAAAGATCAAGACCTCCTTCAAATCAGGCAGAACAGAGGGGTTTAAACTAAATCTTCCATTTCTGGGGGGATAAATCTGTTGCTAGCTATTTTGGGATGCTGTCGCTTTCTGAATTTTACAAAAGAAAGTTCAAAAGTCCTATTTTTGTTCCATCCTAAAATACAAAATGTTACAAAACATCAAAACTTTGCAAAACGGAAATCTTATTTTCTGGCCAGTCCTAGTTACAAAGTTCTTAAGTTTTTTTTCAATTACATCCAAAAGACAATCAAGTCAATATGATTTCCATTTCAACTTTGTAAATAAGAAAATAGGATTCCTCAGGGTCTTAGTTTGGCAAGGTTTAAAGGACTTGAGAAGTTTTTGCTTTCAGTATTGGGCTCCGTTTGCTATTATTGTATAACTTTAATGAAAACCGTTCTATTTAAATGGAATTAGGCTACCTATTTTCCTTGTTTTACATCTACCAAAATAATCTGCATTGATGTTGAAAGGCAAGTCTCTTGAAATGCAAATTTCCCTCATAAACAACAAAATCATCCTCCTAACTTTTGTGAGCAAGGGGCACTCGGAAGCACTGAGTTACTTCAAAGGAAGCTGGGCATAAGTAACTTACCTGACCCGTTTCTTCAAACCTCTTCCTATCTGCACTGTCAATGACATAGATCTGAAAAAGAAATAAAAGGAAAAGTTACTCTTCCCAGAAGACACTCATCCACAGTATCATGTGCTTAAGTGAGCTGAGCCTAATAACTATGCTTTTGGGCACAAAGATCCCCAGTATTATTTATAGCAAACGTTGACAAAACTTCATGACGTTCTGAAAGGAGAGGAACCACCTCTTTTAAAGCTGGGGGGGTGGACAGCCACATGGGTAGGATCAGAAAGGAGCTGGGGGCAGTACTGGGGATGCTCTCACCACCTCCACAGCATCTATTATCTGAAGGGAACAGGAGACTGCCAGGTATCTTTTCAAATGACTGGCTTACAAGCTGAAGCTGAGCACAGGAGGGCAAAACCTGGGGAGCCAGACACGGTCTTTCACCCTAGCAGACAGTGTACAAGCACTGCAGTTGTGTGACTATGCCATGCTGCTCTCTAGCAGGACGCATCACCTCCTCAGTAAGCCACCAAGGCACACAATGGCACTCGGGGACAGATGAATATATTGGGGACATTGAGTTCCTCTCCATCGGGCAATCCTACTGCAACCTCCTGGAGCAGGTGGCTGGGGAGGAGGGCTGGATCCAGCCTGCAAGACTCCATCTTCAGCTGCCAGCTTGTCTGCCAGGATGATGGAGAAGACAGGGAGCATCTGGCTCACAGAGACTGACAGCACAGTCCTGCCACCCTCTCAGGGCTGGGCACCACATCTCACAGTCCACAAGGAGGTCCCAACCAGACACCTGTCCCCTGGCATGGAGAAGGGTGGATCCCCAGGCATGCAGGCTCCCTGCCTTGGAAGGGGGTCTCCACCCTCTCCAAGCAGCGCAGCACGTGCTGATTTCTTTCTGTAAATGCAAACGAGCCTTCTCAGTGAAGGCAGCTCTAGGTCTGCACAGGCTAAAAGGCTCCTCAGAGGTCCCCCTAAATACATAATTAGTAAGTCCAGCCACCCTCCTTCCCCCCGGCAATGCTATTGCAGTTCAGAGCACACAAGTATCAAGCTATGTCTGAAGAAATGGGGAACCTCAGTATAACACTCAGGCAAGAATAGCCTGGTATCCCTTTTTCATTACTTGGTGTGGGAAGGTGTTTGAAGGAGAAGGGTGCTGGGACAGCAGACAGGGACAGGACTGGTGACAAACACTGAGCATTTTGCTTCCAGTCCCTGCCATTCCCCATCAGCAGTGATTGAAGCTGCTAGCGTGTCATCTGCATGCTCTTTGGTGGCTTACAGGGAGCAAGTGTCAGCCTGGTTTTCAGGGAATAGATGAGCACAGCACCCCGCCATCAAGATAAATGGCATCCTTGCAGGCAGCCTCAGCATAAGACTCCATGCTTCCAGGATAATTTCAACCAAATAGTAGGGGGAGGGAAGATCTCTAGCAGCAATATCTATTAAACTGTAGGCACTCCCTTAATGAGCAGTGTTAAGAGTTGTTTGAAATGGGACCAAACACACAGCAGGAGAATCTGTATGCCAGGCCTGTGGAGGTAACCCAGCAACCTCACAGACTTCGCTGCAGATCACTCGGGGTCTGTGGTCCTCCCAGGGCTGGGCTGATGCACACTGACAGACGCTGTGGGACGCGCGGCAGGGCTGGACGCAGCTGTGTGGGGATGCGTCAGCAGTGCACGCACTTGGTGCCATGTGATGGGGAAAGGCCCGTGGGCATGGTGTGACACACAGCCTCTCCCCGCAGTGTGATCCCAAGCATGTGCACCAATACTGTATCAGCTACGCCCATCCTCTCTGCCCCTCCCAAGCATCTACCCCTGTGCGTCCCATTTGGGGTAGGAAAAACAGACCAAAAGAAAGGAAGAAGCTGCAGGCCTGGTAGTTGTGCTCTCGGGTGAAACTGGGCTGTCATCTGTCCTCCTTCGGGACATCTCAGGGGAAGCTCAGCAACACATGAACGCAATAGTTGAGTGCTACTTCTCAACTGAAAGGCGGCACCTCCCATATTACGGTGCTTCTGTAACTGGCAAGGAAGAACTCTGAGTCCCAACCAGCCAGGCTTTCTCCTGCACCACTCTGTTCCTTGCTAGGGAGCTATTTTGCAAGATGAGAATTGGAGACAACAGCGCTCGGGGCAAAAGCCACAAAAGCACAGCACAGAGAAGGTAAACTATGTGCGGAGTGCCTACTTCCAAACCAGAAAGCACTGTGCCAAATAGCTGCAGGTGCCTGTCTGAATATGCAATCAGCCAGATATCCACACCTTATTTGCCTGGGTTAAACTTCCAAATATCACAGGTGTGTGATGCAAGACCAAGCTCTCATTCAAAGGCACCTGCATGGATTTGAATTTGCAATCACTTCCTGCTTTTTAGTACACCTTAGAGGGTCCTTTGTGCAATATAGTTTAGGAGAAGGCAGAAGCAGGGGGTCCTGTAGTGTATCTCATCTCCACTTTCCTTCTGCGGCCAGGGCCACACAAGAGCCTGTTTCTGGCTGTGGTGCCTCGTAGCACAGTTTGCCAGTTTGAAACAGCCATTGAGTGCACCACGTTGGAGAAACGGAGCTTGAGAAAGACATTCCCGTAAAGCTGGCGGCCTCCTTTGAGCAACAGGCCAAAACAAAACCTGGAGTAAGCCAGTTGGGCAGAAATTGCAAGTGGTGGGACTGGATGAAGAAATAACATGAGGGATAAGTTGGCTCAATTTACAGAGGCACAACCTGCACCAGGTTAGTCAGAGGGCAAAATTACTGGCTAAAATGCGGGTGAGGGCTGGCATAAGGGGGAGAGAGTCATCAGCGTATACTTGATTCCAGTTTTGGTGTGTATGGACATAGCAAAGCACTGCACTAATGTGCTGACAGCTCCCAGTCTGGGACTGTGTGTCAGCACGGAGCGCAGGCAGGGGAGCTCAGGTCCATATACGCACCAGTTATTCCCTCTGAATTCACACCGCCGCTTCCCCCCAACTGATTCTGCTTCTTTCTACCCATTTTCTTACTTGTATGAAAAGAAAGGTTTTCTCTGTACATTGCTTTAACTGGGGTGGGAGGAGGGCAGGGAAAACAACTGCTTTCATCTCCTTCAGTCTTGAAATTCACCTTTATTTCTGCACCTCCCATGCAGCACACACTGGGGAAGGGGGAAGCCCACAGGCCAGTGTAGCTCTTTGCCTTTGCCAGCAGAGTCTTCCAGGCACTGTTTTGCGGTTGCACAGTCTCTGCAGCCTGAGCACCTGCCACAGCAGGCAAAGATCCCCTAGCTGCTGCTCTGCAGTGTCGACTTTGATCTGCACACCTACTGCCTCCCCAACACAAACAGCTGCAGAGCTTGGACTCAATGGGCACAATCACCTCACAGCCATGCCATGTCCCCCTTCTCAATGACCACAGAGGAGCACGCGAAGCATGTCCTGCTAGTTTCTCAAACCCAGATCTTTCCCCTAGGAAGATCTTGCCATTACTCTTTGCAAAAGCAATCAACTGGGTTTATCCTGTGGTGGCTGCCCTTAAATATCAGATTCCAAATTAAGGCTGAAAAAGGGGGATCTGCAGAAGAGATTACTAAGGGTTTACCAGTCCCACCTAAATAACAGCTTCATTTGGACAATGTTTTCTAAACCTGCAGATGCAGCCAAGCCCTTCAGGACCCTGACATGAGCCTTGGAGTAGAGAGTCCTATTCCTAGTTGCACTGATCCTTCTGGAAGTGCACTGAAGCTCCTGACACATTAGTGAGTATGTGTGTGCGACAGGAGGGAGGAAGGGCGTCTTTCCGAGAGAGCTTCCCGCTTTCCCATGGGAGCCCTGCAGACCTTGCTTACAATAGCCTTTTCTCTGTTCCCACAGGCAACATTGCTTGGGGTGGGGAGAGGCCTGGAGCCCCCAGCCTGCCTTCATCCTGGCACATGTGGCTGCATGTTAGAGGTGATCTTTGAAACTAGTCAGGACAGCACTTGGAGGGTCCCAGGGTAATGTGCTCTGGCATGGAAACACAAAGGTCCTGCACTGTAAATATAATTGTAGTCATCTAGCTAATTGTAAGGTAATTACAGCTAAGTTGTCAAAAACATTAAAGGACAGTCTTATGATTAAAGGAGCAAAAGAAAAGACAAGGGGTCTCTCTCTGTCCCTCAGCCAGAAGCTCTCCTACCTGATGCCAGATATAGCATTTAATTCTGCTGTGCCTCAGTTTCCCCAACTAGAAAACAAAGGCACCATACCGACCTATCTCTACACATGAAGCTTAAGTCACTAATGCCCATGACAGCCCTTCAGAGTCTCCAGTGAAAGGAGTTATAGATGTGTAAACTACAAGTTATTAATGTTCTTTCATTTGAAGGAGACTGAGATGAGAGGAAAGGAACTGGCTATAACCAGCACCATCCTGTGAAAGTAAAAACATACAACTGAATGATTTCTCCAAACATTGCTGTATTTTTCTTACTGCACCCAACCAATCTTGCCATTTCACTCAGAGTAACTCCTGCTACAATGGCAATGGTGTCGCTGAGGACTGGGACATTACATTACTTGTTCCTGAATTTCTGGCTGAGACCTTGGAAAGCCATTGCATGAACACAGCATTCAACTGCAGCCAATACTCACAAGGATATCAGTGTTTTCAAAATAGTTCCTCCAGTACGGCCTGATCTTCCTCTGTCCACCTATGTCCCATACGTTCAGCTTGAAGCCTTGAGACTGTACACTTTTGATGTTAAAGCCCTGGAAAGAGCAAAAACAAAGCCACATAGAGCATAAACCTGCATGGCTGGATCATGTGCATAAGCAGACGTTAACACCTTATATATCCCATGCCTGCAACATGCAGCCAGATGGGCTGGGCAGCCACAAAGATGGATCGGCTGTGGGAGAGGGGCTGGCGGAAGTGAACACAGCTGCCAAACCATCAGTTTGCCAAGAGGTGCTGGCGAAAGTGAACACAGCTGCCAAACCATCAGTTTGCCAGTGTTCTTGGGTCAAGGGTTGACGCTGTCATGGCTACGGAGACATATGATGTAGTTAGTGCCCTGGGAGGGCTCAGCAGGGTGGGTGCAGGAAGAGGTGGGAGAGCTGCAGATAAGGAGAAAACAAGGGCGCTGTAAGAAGCAGGACTGAGCTTGTGAAAGCCGAGTAGAGAGTCCCAGCTAACATAAAGTCAGAGGTCTCAGCTCAATTCGACAGGACACAGCTAATGCTGGGCTTAAAAGAGCAACAGCTGCATGTCTGAAGGGTCCATTTCATCAATTAGAGCACCAATTGAAAGGGCATTCAAGTAGAAAAACAGGATGTGGCGTGGGCTGGCAACTTGCTGCCACACCACCCAGGGGACTGGGGCTCGGAATCGGGGTGTCAGGGCTGGGAGCTTTGGGAGGCAGCTACGGGGTGGGGGGAAGCATCTCCCATAGCTCTCTAGCAACCTCCTCTGGTCCACAGGAGCAATGCTGCAGTGCTTCTGATGGGAGACATCCCTCGCCCCAAGCCTGAGGCATCAGAGAGGGAGTGCTGGAATATGCAAGACCCTTGGGAGCTGGCTGGGTGAAAGATGCAAGGAGACAAGAGCTTGCCCAATGCTACAGCAATGCTGTACATGTCCCCTGTTTGGCAAGGACAACAGGAACAAAGTGTCATCCATGCAACCCTAGCATGACCCAAAAGCCACATGACCCAAAAGCCTTCTGCAGAACTCCAGGGCACTCATCCACTTTTGCATGACCTGACAGATCTGGCCTGACGCTCTCTGGCTCCTTCAGGGATCCTCCTCTTATGCAGATAACACACAAACTTGATGGTGCACCAGGCTCCAGTCACTTCCCCTTTTACTGAAATGCTCTGCTGAATCCTTAGTGCTTTGTATAACAAGGCAGGTGGGACCACAAGAACTGCCTTGGGCAGGGAGAGGCTTTCCTCACCTGTGTTGGCGTGATGTGGCTGATGTCCTCAGATGCCAGCTGTTTCAGGAGTGTGGTCTTGCCTGCATTATCCAGTCCCAAGAGGAGGATCCTCACCTCCTGATCTGGGGTGCTTTTCAGTTTACGCAGGATTGACAGTAAACCCTAAATCCGCAAGAGAGATCGTAGCTGTTATTTCCCACTCTGACTCTCTTCCCCCACCATGCCATGCCCTCCTCCCTTGAAATGGATTCTGTACAGCAGCGGATCCCAGGACACCTTGAACCCCCTTCTGCAGTCCTGATTCCCATTTCCTCTTCTACTCTTCCCCCTCGCCCCAACTTTGCTTCATCTCAGAGAGTAGCAATGAGGTCTCAGCACAAATGTCACTCAGTGGAGCACACCACTGGCTGCATTGCTCTTGCCACACAGCTGTTTGGCATTCCCTGTGCCAGGAAGACAGTGCCTACGGATATCACGTGTAGGAACTGCAAACCAAGTCCTTTCGAGCTCTTCATTATCTTTATCAGAGGGAAAACCCCATTAATTTAATCTCCCTCCTAGTTAACTGCAGGTTACTGTGTACCTGACATCAGTTCTTTTCATAGTAACTCCCTGATCATCTCCAACTCCGTTTATCTGTCTAAAACATGCTGGACCCATGGGGCACGTGCAGTTCTGATTCTCAGGATGTAGCACTTAACAACTATCTCAGATCACCACACATCCTTGCTAAGAAAAGCACAGTGGATTTCAGTCATTAGCCAGGCTCAGCTCTCTGAGCTGACAGTATCACTCAGGATTAGGAAATAGAATATGCAGGTCAGCTCATTTACAACCGCACACGTTACAGCAGCACACCCAAGCTTTTGTCAGTGCCACTGCTCAGAGACCTGGCCTCTCTAAAATAACTGGAAAAATATCCTGGATCCTGGCATGTAACTGAGAGACACAAACCACCCCACTTCCACCTGCCTCTCGCTGCCCAGCCCGGCCCCACAGGAGAGGGCCAGTTGCAGCCGAGGGCACAGGAGCAGGCTGCAGGTCCACGACTGCCTGGGTGACCTTGGACACGTTGCTGCGCTGCTCTGCACCCCCCTGCTTGGCAGGGACCACTCCTCGGAGCCTGAGCAGCACGCACCACACTGAGACCCTGCCTGGGGACACAGATGCTCTTGCAACTAATTTGCCTGAGCAAATACACCTACAGCCCTTTCTGGAGCCCTCAGGACTCCTGCTCTGTCTCTCCCAGACAATTCCCATGTCCTGAAGGGCAATGGCAAGGTGTTTTTTTTTTCAGCCCACTAAGACCCCACAGAGACGGGAACAAAGTTCAGGTATCAGCACACACCCAGGCCAATCTCAAGCTTTTTTATTCTCCCATTTGCAAAATGGAGACAACGCTTCTTGTCGACCTGCAAGGGTGAATCAGTTAAATGTCATAAAGTGCTTTGTTGCTATGAGGAACTACACCCTCTAAATATTCCTG